TAAGAGTATATGTAATGCATATAATCAATAAAATGGGCGACGTTGTGTGTTCAAAAAAAAAAAAAAAAAAAAAAAATTATTATAATTTAATTGATTATGTATTATTATATAAATAATATCAAATAATGACCTGTGGGTCAATAGCACAGTGGTAGTATTCTCAGGTCACAATCACAAGGTCTGTAGTTCAATATCACTTAAAAATCAAAATCAAAAAATTATTCTTTTGATCAGGTTTTACCGGTTATCTTGTAAAAGTCATATTCAATTACCTGAAACAAATTCTAATCAAATTAGGTTACATAAAGATGGAACTTTTGGCCTTTCATTGATTAGGGGTTGAGATCTATAGTTGTACTACTGGAAGGATTGCATAAAGAAAGGCTTCTGATCTAACCTATCATAAAAATGCCCTCAAAACCTCTTGTCTTGGCAGTCTCCAAGACTCATGCTCTCCTAGCTTAAGATATCTTAATCTTATGCTCTGCTTAAATGAAAATCAGTCATATGGGACTAATTCGTTACTATAAGTAATAATAAAAAAGGAAAGTGCCCCCTTCCAAGGTCTGAGTGAATAATATCTGGAAATATCGAAGAATGATTTAAATCTTATCGGGTATATACAATATAGTCTAGTTTAGTGAATATAATATAAAATTTATAAAGCTTACTACTAAATTAGTCTGTTTCACCATTGATGATTATGTATTTAACCATCCAGTCCCTAACTGAATCTATTTACTTATAGAATAGTAACTGATTCATTTATGGTAAACCATGATAGGTTATCTTTTTTTTTTTTTTTTTTTAACCCTCTGTCAGGCTAGTTATGTGTGCTTTATTAAACAATTGTAAGCTGTACATATAGTATGAATCGCTAAAGCTAAAACTTTAACTAGCTCACTCGTCTCTAAACCATGATAGGTTATCATTAATCTGCATAAATATATAAATATATGGTTTGTATGAGATGATTGATATAACTACTGTAAGATTTAATTATTTATCAAATTAAATTAATTTTTAAATAAAAGTTTGTATCTAATACCAGTTACGGTTTAATAAAAGATAAATAAATAAATAATATCAAATAATTTATAATTACAAATGATTTTTTTTATATAATTTATTTTTATTAAATAATAGATAAATAGTAAAACTAAATTTTTAATGAATAATTAATAAATATTTAATGAATAGTATTGATAAATAGTTATCAAATTTTTAATGAATAATTGATAAATTTTTAATAAATAGTTTTAATAAATAGTTGTTAAATTATTAATGAACCATTAATAAATTTTTAATAAATTATTAATAAATCAATGTTAAATTTTTATTAAATTGCTAATAAATAATTTTATGATAAACTTTTAATAAAATTTTTAATAATTTATTGTTAAACTTTTAATGATTGCTAAATTTTTTATTGTTATTTTATTGTTGAAATAGTAATATATCAAATAACAACAATTGAAAAGAATTTAATAACATTTTTTATTATTAAATTTAATCAAATTTAGCAATAATTCAGCTGCTAAAGGATATAATTTCGACTAGTATTAATAGATAATTTAAAACATTTGTAAACTATATATATTTAAATAATTCTTAAATAGCAATATAAATATAATATATAATTTATAGTATTTAATATATAAATTATAATAGTTTTAAATATAATATTATAATGATAAATTATAAAAAATAATTTTAATATATAGAAGTTTAATATCAATTTATTAAAAAAATAAAAAATATATATTTTTTAATTTAATTTAGCATATTTAATTCAAACTTTATTTTATTTAGTTTAAACTAATTTAATTTTTTTTTTTTTTTTTTTTTTAAACGCTGGCTCAACCGTGTTTTATTTGTAAGAAAATAGTTGAGATTTACATAGTGAAAGACTAGGTAAAAACTATTAAAGTGAAACAGATAAAACAAAACAATATAAAGAGTTCATGCGAAAACCTTCACCTTGCGACGTATTGCCACCCTTAAGCAAGGGGCTAGTCTAAAAGGACAGACTAGTACTAAAACAAATTTCGAGTATAAAATAAAAGGAAAGAAAAGAAAACTATTCTATCGGGTTTAATAAACTAAATAACATAGTCGCACTGTAAAAAACTTTTCAATTTCCATCAATAGGGAGGGAGTAGACTTGGAGGCCGAGGTGGTCACATGGTGTAGTCCTTGATTGGCTAGAGTGCCTTCTATAAGATCATACTTTAACCTATGCCTTATTCAAGTATAGAGTGTATAACAGGGTCCATCTGTAAGTTTATGTGGGTAACCGGCCCTCTTCCTTACTCGTCTACTGATTCGGACACCCAGTGATTGGTGGGTGTTGGTGATTAACGATGGTAGTCTCCCAGATTATCCACTCAGTCAGCACGTGCGGTTACTAGATCACATTACTTGTGTCTTTTCGAATGGTGATAGCAACTTTTAGTCTTCCAGTCTACCAATATGGGGTAATCGAGAATAGGTGAAAACTTTAAACTAATTTAATAGATTTCTTATATACAATATATATATATATATATTTGATTTTCTGTTAGGTTGGTTATATATACTTCATTAAACAATTATAAGCTATACATTAATATATGATATTAAAGTCAAATCTCGAATTTACTTGTTAATATTTTTATTTAAAACTCTAAGTACAATTATGGAGGTGATTTTTTGCTCCATTGGTAGTTTGTGTAGAAACTCCTTCAACATCTAATATCATTATCTGTAGATCGTTACTATAGAATTTCTTATATTTTTTATTATACAAAAATCTATATAATATTATAAAAATTTCAATAAATATACTATACAATATATCATGATAACATAATTACAAGTTAATAATAATAATAATAATAATTTGAAATATAATATACTATAAATTTTATTTTTTTATAACATATTTAAGTAATATATATTTTATTTTTTATAATATATACCTGTAACTATTATAATCCAATTTACAGTAGATTATTATTTGTTTATATTAACAAAAAAAGATTAAAAAAGAGTTATTATTCTTTATATTAATGAAGATAAGTAATCTAATCATTATAATTTTAAAATTTCCAGTTAATGGAATAACCATTAATAATAATATATAAATTATTGATGCTAAATTAATCATACTTGTGTTATACAGTATTTATTAATTATTAAAGACAATTTTTTGAAATAATGACAATGATAATAATTAAATGGTAATAATATCAATACAATCGTAATGAGCATAAAACTTTAATTGTATACAATGATCTATTTTTTTAAAAATCGAGTATAATCCGATTTTCAAAACTCCAAATCTTTTTTGTAACGGCTAATAAAATTCGACTTTTTTGTCACATGTATTGCCTAGGGTCGTACGTACATGATTTCCACTCGGATAATATAATGAGCAGTGCCACACCTGGATATTGTTTGAACCCTTTTTTTCCAAATAGGTATTATCGAATAGCCAGTATATGACGTAAGGCGAGTCTTCCAATACACAATCAGCACAAATTTTCCTAAACTCCCTACTTTTGTTGGTCTTTCTTGTATGTAAATAGTTTTAGCTTTGGGTGTTTTATTAAAAAAAAAAAAAAGTACATATACGTTTCTCCTTTAAATACCAAAAATAAAGTAAGACAAGCTTAAAGAGTGCAAAAAAATGACCATATAATTTAAAAAAAGATCAAGATTTTGCATGCACACCTTTTATGATTATCATTTCATCTTACACAACTGTCAAAGCAAAGAGAATATTACTTAAACATTATCAACCGACTAAAGAAGAGTTAAAAGAATTACGGGTTCGCGGATTATACCCCGAGCAGTTTTTAAACAAAAAAAAAAACAATGGAAGAAATACAGACTCTTTTGAAAGTAGCTTCGGAATATTTGGCATCAGGGAATGCAAAGGTGAATAATATGAATATTTCTTTTCGGTAAAACTGTTTCATTTTTGGAAAGTTTCTGATTTCTTTGCAAAAATAAAAAATTAATTTCATACAGGATGCCTATTTTTCATACCTTAACACACTTGATACAATAACAAAAGAATTGCATAACATAAAATTTGTAAATAACGGTAAGATCAAATATTAAAAGTAGTGACTTTCATACATTTAGGGAAAATTGTTTCGATTGTTTGTCATTTCCCCTATTATCCATAATTAGAGAACATGAATGTTTAATTTGTGAACCAATGATCTTATAAATAAAGATATATAATCAATCAAGACGGGACAAAATAACCAAACCTTTTCTATTCTGATGTTAATAGTTGTGGTCTCGAAGCCAGCGTCCCTTACTTCTCTTTTCAACATATCACGAACGTGCCTGTCTCATGCAGAAGATATAATTGCGAAACCACGAAAAAACCCAAATTTAAATATATCCATAAACTCGTCCACACTAACACCACCACAGCGCGAGGTAAATTTGCTCGACGCACCGCACAAGGCTCCGCCATTACCGCCAAAACCGACTCGCAGATCATTAAAAGGTGGTGAAGATGGATCCCTGGTAACGCCAAAGAATGAGCCGGCCTCACCGATTACAAAACCGCCGTTACCACCGAAGCCCGTTCGCACACCGAGCATGAAAAAATGGTTGAAGGATGTAGAAGTTTCGGGAAGTGGTAGGGATGCTCATGTCGTCTCGGGCGAAGGTGAAGATGATGCGGACAGTTCCGATTCCGACGACGAGGATGACGAATACGTTCATAAACATAGTACGTAAATATACTTTCAATCATATGTTTCGTCACCGTCAATTTTATCGCAAGAATATTTAGCATTTTTATGTACACAGGTTCTTTCCCTCGCCGATCGGCACCATTGTTGAATATGAACATAGCTTCGTTGCTTCATCGACGTTCATCATCCCCCAACCTAACCGATTCAACAAGGAGGCGCCCGGGTATAACGGAATCGCTCACAGATTCACCTACCGATGAGGAGAGTCCCTATTCCTCTCATTTGACATCTCCCACCACCCCCGCGTCATTTTATAGCGCCATAGCAGTTCCGTTGTCGATGCCAAATTTATTAGATCAACGACCGAAAATGATTAGCGTAGTACCAGAAGGCGCGGTAAATCCAAATTACCTGGTACCCGCCACAACCATGAGCGAATCAGATAACACTCAATCGCCAAGTTCAACATCATCTTCTCAATACACCGATCACGTTCCAGAAATTCCGGCCTCGCCATTATTGATTCATCATGCACAAATTGAACAAAAAATCTTGACATTGGAAGCAAAATTGGTAGAATATCGAAAAATTTCAAAAATGAGGGATGCCAATCATTCCGATAAGGGAGAGGATGGTCAAGCTTGGTCCGAACTATCAACCGATGAGATCAACGACGCCATTGTAAAATATGGAAATACCGTTGCGGGGCTCAAGAAAACAATCACAAGATCTCGTAAACTCGTGTTTAAGGCGGCCAATGATCCAAACATTTTGGAGTTCGCACCACACATGATAGCATATCAATTAACACTCATAGAGTCTGCAATCTTTTTGGAGATTGATCCGCAATCTTTACTCACGCATTCACCCAAAAATCCAGATCCGAAAATAACGGCATCCACCGACTTTTTTAATTACCTAACACGGATAGTGGAACGTTCCATCTTATTGTCCATCGAGGCATCATCACGTGCACAGATAATCAATCATTGGGTCAAGGTTGCGGTCAAACTACATGAGCTACGTAACTTTCAGACTTTAAAAGCCATCCTCGCTGCTTTAGGCACACCACAGATAAAGAGGCTAAAGAGAACCTGGGCGTGCATTCCAAAAAAGAGCATGGCGAAGTTAGATAATTTAAATGAGTTAATGAGTGAAACAAGGAATTATGAGAAGTATCGGTGTATTGAGAAGATGATGTTGAACTTGGCGATTGAGTGTTATCTGATTCGCTCATGGTTGTGGCGGGTAC